TACATTTATATATTTACTTAACAATTTATTAATATTTATAGTTATTTTTTTAGCAGAAAAATGATTTTTGACAAGATGTATTTCTTATGACATTAAACGTATCTCTCTCTCTCTCTCTCTCTCAATGAAATTGTACAGCATTCTAAAGTTAAATATATGTTTAATCCGCAAAAAAATTGGTGGAGAACAGCCTCTGTATATCCAAGTGGAACTTTTTCTCATTCAAAGTTTGAAAATTTTTTCTCTTTGATATTCCAGGAACTATCAACAGTATGATGAAAAAATGATTTTCTTGCTTCTTTTCTGCAAATACAAATAATCCTCTTGATTTTGTCTAAGAAGTCTCTGTATCTCGTGAATAATGATAATGTAATCATATGAAATAAGAAAATTGAAATGTTTCATGAAAATATATAGCTAATATAAGAGTTATTACTTGTACATGAACGGTCTGAGGTTTTTTCTTACAAGTTACCACTTTATAATAATTGAGGAATAACCAAATAGAATAAATTCACTGTTTAAATCATTGTGTTTTATGAAATATCATTAAATTCATCAATTTAAGATATTAAAATTACAACCCAATAAATTGATTAATATATTTACATGATCAATAATGAAACATTTCAAAGCTGTCCCAAATATTATAAATTTATTGTGTAATTGATTTCAAAAGATTCAGAGGTTTGGTAAATATTGACAATTTTATGTTTTTATATCCATTGTCACATCCATTACTTGATGAAAATTAATAACACTATTCATGATATTAATTGCACAATTTTCACAAACATTTTTTATTTCTGAACACGTTTCGCTAACACTGTAGCTTTCTCAGTAGAGAAAAAAACATCTACTGAGGAAGCTATGGTATTAGCAAAACGTGTCTAGAAATAAAAAATGTGAAAATTGTTCAATTAATATCATAGATTATGTTTTTGTGCTTTTGATAACAAAGAAATATTGCTTAATTACCTGTGTTGCCTCTAAACCTATTTAGTTTATTTTTTACTCAGGCTTTGGATCATTTGTTATTTCAGTAAAACTTATCAATTGTTTATTGGTGGTTATTTATTTTTGTTACTACAGTTCCCATTTTATTATAGATGGCAAATTTATCCTGGAACTGGAACGGGCTAGAGAAGGAGAAAGAGTTTCCTGGGTGTCGGTCCCTCGAAAAACATTTTGGCCTCCTCAGGGCACCGCCTCTTCCACACCCGCTTATAGACAAGAGAGCAGCACGTCCCTTAGTGGTAAGTAATTTTTCAAAAGATCCCCCACATAATTTTGATTGATATAAGATATACTCCAATGGAACTGTCAATTCCTTTTTAAGTGAATAAGCAAACAATGTATCTACAAGAAATTCTTCAAATTGAATTATTTTAGAAATATGATTCTGAATCAGATATTTACAACCTTTAAAATTTTGTTCATATTCAATTATTAGATTATTTATTTACATTAGGTCGTTTCAAAAGTTTTGTCCGGTTTTTTTTTTTAGTATACTTTAAACTGTAACATCTCGGTGAATTCTTATTCAATTTAATCGAAATAAAAGTGATTTGAATCAGTGCACTTTTGCCAAAGTAACACAAGTCGATTAATTCTAACAGAATGAAAATTGGGTGCTTGGGATTCGATAAAATCGAAGGAGTCCGTTTTTGCCCCGTCCTGATTGGCGAAGGTTCTATCAGCGAGAAAGTTATTGAAGTGCTTGAAAAGATTGTAGTCGGTTGGCGAGAAGTCTGGGAAAAATGGTGGGTGTGGCAGAACTTCGACGCTCAATTCGTTTGATTTTCGAACGGTGATTTGTGAAACGTGCAGATGGTGTTGTCGTGGAGCAGGATCGGATCTCTTCTGTTGATCAGTGCCCTAGAGAGAAATTGTTTGAAAATCGCTCAACAGTATCATATAATACCTGAACACGACAATGCATTTAAAGTTTACAAAAAGCAATACCAGAGCGCTATACAAAATGCAAAAAGAATTTTATTTGATAATTTCATTAATGAATCAAGTAATAAATCCAAGGATGCTTGGAAGCTAATTAACTATGAGCAATATTTAAACAAAAAACTTTCAGCCTCAAGCAGCATTTCCCCTAATGAATATAACATCTTTTTCACAAATATAGCTGAACAAACTGTAAAATATCTACCCTCCTGCAACATTAATGCTCTAACGTACCTTTTTACACTCCCCAAACCTAGTACTTTTATATTCCTTAGTCAAGTTACTGAGGTTGAAGTTAAACAAGCAATAATTAAATTAAAAAACTCTGCTTGCTTGGACATATACAACTTAAACAGTAGAATGATTGAAGAAACCCTACACCTTGTCTCTAGTCCATTAACTGTTCTATTCAACCGTTGCCTCTGTGAAGGAGTATTTCCAGACATCTTCAAAACAAGTAAAGTTATTCGCATATTCAAAAAGGGTGATCCAAATATTCCAGATAACTATAGACCCATATCTATCATTCCTATCTTTGGGTAACATTTTTTAGATGCTAATTAAAGATCGCTCAATTTCTTTTTTAAATGCTCAATTTGGATTTAGGTCCAACAAATCGACAACCCAAGCTGTGATGGCTATAGTTGATAGAATAATAGAGAATATCGAAAAGGGGCTAGTGTCTGCTCTAGCTATATGTGATCTAAGTAAGCCTTTTCATAGTGTAAATCATGAGCTCCTACTAGGTAAATTGGAATATTACGGAATATGTGGTAGAGCTTTAGAGCTAATGAAAACCTTCTTATGTGGGAGAAAATAAGTTGTTTATACACCTGGAAATTCTAGCACATGTAGATACATTTTGCACGGTGTACCATAAGGGTCCATACTGGGACCAACTCTTTTTGTGGTATATATTAATGATATTTTTAATTTCTTACTCCCAAGCTTATCTTTTTGCTATGCACATGATGTATCAACGGTAGAATCAGACCCAAATGTTAATGACTTAAGGGACCTATGTTCTAGAACAGATAATGAAGCTGAAACTTGGTTTACTTCAAATTATCTCAAGCTCCTCTCTTTTTAACAGCTACCTAACATATGGCATACTTTTATGGGGTCAGTCTTCACATGCGATTAAAGCCTTTCGTATGCAAAAAAAAAGAATCCGGATCATAGTCAATGTTTCTTACAGAAAACACTGTCGTCCTCTGTTTCAAAAACTCAAAATTCTACCCTTGCCATGTATTTTCATAATTCTTACATGATTGAAAGCCAAATTGGGCATTGTTTATTATATTATGTTTTGTAAAGAAGAATATCATTCTTTTCTTGACAAGTTTCTCTATAAGTTTCGATAGAGATGGTATAAGAGAAATTGGTCGAAGGTTTGACGGCTCGTTCGCTGCACCCTCCTTGTGAATAGGAATAACTGAAGCAGTTTTCAGGATGCCAGGAAATGTTCCAGTTGTGAAAGACACATTAATTGAATCCGCTGAAACAAACATCCCAAGTTGCTTAAAATCATCCAGACCGACCATGCAGCTTTGTAATTGTACCTTATTGAGGTTGTCGGGTGTTGAAGATGAAAGATTCTCACTTTGATACCCACAGCAACTTTTCATATGAGGGCATCTGTACATCAGCTATTCCTGACGATACATTGGATTTAGTTGGGCAAGACCTTTTCGCCTCTGGTTTGGGTAAATCATTGTTTGAGCATAAGCGTTGACAGGGCCTGCTCAGAGGGATATTGTTTCCTCTCCTGAGGCAGATTCATAAGATATCGTGCTCTTGAAGTGGTGATAAATCGCTTCCTGGCTGTGCCACCTAACCTCATCGGTTTATTGAAGAACTAAGAAGCTCCTTCCCTTGATTCAATGCTTCAGGGAGGACAGTTGAGTCGTTTAGTTCAACCTTCATTTGCTCAGTAAATTCAGCTCAAAAACCGAAGATCTGAGAAGCTCTTTTTTTGACGCCTTGTCACAGTGAGGACAGTTGGGGTTGTTTGGTCGACGTCCATCTTCTCTGTAGACTCTGGTTGAGATTTTTATGGTTACTACATGGTCCATAATAATGCTAATAATTATAATGATAATAATAAAGACAGTCTGATCTCAATGAACTGCGCAACCCGATTACCCGATGGGCTAAACACTTATTGGTGGAAAAAACTACCAAGCAACTTTTCAGGTAAACTTCGAAGTTTCGGTTGAAAGTACTAGTCTATGACTCATCTTCAGCACCTTTTTGATTTAGTGTTTTTTAATGGACTGTCAAGACAAGAGCAGATGTGTCACTTCCATATGAATTCGTAAATTTTGAAAGAATTTTGGGTGAAACATCTTCAAAGTTATGCAAAAGTTTGTATCTAGAAGAAATTTCTGTGCATGATCATCCTTTCTTTGGAAGTTTTCTAAAAATGTATTATTTCAGTAAAAGTGAATCTGACCTCAAACCCGTCACCAGTTAGATTACTTTAGTGAAAAACATTGAAAAAAATGAACCCAAAAAAAAATTCTGCATAATCTGCGAAAAATTTCCGAACTTAAGGTTTATAGAAGGTATAGAAGTACATACTTACTTTTATTGCTTTGCAATGTTCGTGAATGTTGGACAATTTGTACCTTTGGCACTTTTTTTATTTAATGAGCTAAAATAATTACTGAATTAAAAGAACACATTTTTATCTTTAATTTTATACATTACTCTGATCATCATCAACATTTGAAAATCAGGACAGTAAGTATTTCTGCTTTGAGTCCTACATATTTTGTATTCATCCTGTATCTGAGCAGCTGTCAATTGAAGGTGTTCCTTTAAATAATAATGTTTAAAAAAAGTTCTTGAGATACAGATTTCTCAAACACACATTATATTAAGCTTCAATGCATTGTCATGACCTGATTATCAACAAGAATTTCTATACTTTTCATTCACTCATGCATCACCAGTTTATAAATCAGAGAAACTTTCTTCTTCTTAAGGAAAGACAAAAAAAATGTTGCAATTTCCCTTATGGACAGCTAACAAACTTATTGCTCTGATAATTTTGAAACAATAGATGATTTGAATAATCTCGTTTTCATTGTGTTGTGGATATTCAGAAACTTGAAAGAAATGGTTGGTCAATTCTCATTACTTGAATTAAATAAATAATTGATTCCTTGTCTTGAATATTATTGGTGATAACCCCTTAGATATCAAACACATTATAGATAAGGGGGCAATACTTTTATAGACAATCTGAAGTGATTTTCCCATTTAGTGGTGCATTTGTAATTTTATCTTATGGAAAAACCAAACGAATCCACACTATTGCTTGATACCCAATCTGATGATACAACAATATCAAAACAGCATATTCAAGTGACACTCTTTATTCACTTAATTTTTTTCAATGAATATTCAAAAAGTTTAAAAATTCTTTAGTTTTGAAAATATTTTCAACACTTGATATCTCAACAGTACAAAAGTTAGTGTTTATATCACAGTTTATTTTCAGGATCATTATACCATACATCTAATTTCATTCCTAACTTCCCTTCGAAGGAAACAGCTCCTTTGAAAATATAAATGGTGTCGAATATAATCTAACGCCCTTAGTGGTATTAGCCAGGGGAGTAGTTGTTTTCTGATAGGCGTCAGTCCATTAAACCTACTGTGTAGGTATATCGAGACTCGCTTGAACGCTTAAAGTTCATTTGCTTTAGATTTGTTTACTGCCAGTCTTCAAGCATAGCCCACTGACTAATAAGAAAGTTTTTCTTCCTTATTCAGAGGAATCGGGCAAATTACGGATATATGCAGTTGGTTAGTACCTCGTCCACTAGATGGAGTGACATTTTGTGATGTTCGCTCCAACTTCGGAAATAATTTCTCTCCCATATTCTTGTGCTTGTGACACATAGAGAAATCTGTACTCTTGTTTTGATGGAACATTTCTGAAAAATTATTTCCATTTCTATCGTGTGTATCTGTGATAGTCACCCACAATTCAATTAAAAAAGAAGAAGCTTAAAGTTACTGCAATTCCAAAATTGCCAAATAGTGAAAGATTTCGATTTGTTTCTGCCAGCTCTACGGAAAAGCTAGCAGAAATCTCTGATTGAAAAAACAACAAGTAGAAGTGAGGACAATGACATCCACCTCACAAAGATGCCATCGATGAGTTCGACAGAGAACTCACTCTTCGAAATTGAAGATAAACAAGGTTCCTCATGGTGATCAATTACAAAGCGAAGCTTCGACATCAACCGCCAATGAGATTCGTCCTGTCTTCCACTGCACCTTT